AAGCTGTTGGAGGGGGGAAAAGAGAATGGCTTCATTAAATTTTCTTTCACAAATCTTTGTAGGGATCTTTTGTCTTTCTGGTTGTCCATGTTGAGGAAGTATAAGGACACAGCCTATATGAAAGTTGTGAAAGCAGACTGACACTGCAGGAGCTCATGGTGTCCCTGCTAGGGCAGTTTGTATAAGCATATTTGGTTAGGTTCTCAAAGGTAATAATATAATAATCATAAAAGAATGATTGAGATAGGAGAAGCAGTAGGAATTAGTATCATAGGCAGCATCATTAAAAAGCAGCCTTCCCTCTGAGGTCCTCCTTTGTAAAGGAGGCAAATTTCATGGCAAATTCCTGTTTCTTCAAAAGGATAGAGGTGAGGTAGGGTGTTGTTGCTGTTACAAACATTTTCTTTTACTGTTGGTAAAGAAGATTTGCTTGAATAAGGTAGGAGAGGATACATTCTCAGGAGTCTGGAATCTACCTAGAGCAGACATTAGGAACAAGGGCTGATTAAACTGTCAGTGCTCAAGTGTTGAGTTCCACAGTCATCTTCAGCCCCTCCCCAGCAGAAATAGCTCTCAGCCATGCCAATGCCAGTGCTTCAAGGGCAGGATCATAGCGGGGATGAACAGAGTAAACTCTGCCACATAGGAGGTTCCAGAGGAGTTGATTAGTGCAAAAAGATGTCTTCCATTGTTTATTATTTCAGCTGTTGTCCAATGTTTTGCTTTTTTCTTGCTTGCTTCTACAGTTCTTTAATGATGCTAATTTTGCACATGCAACAGGAGAAACTGAAATTTCAAATGCAGTTGGGGGTGGCAGGATGGGGCTGGGACTGCCCCATGCCATCCTGTTGTGGGGGCAGGAAGCAGGACAGGGCTATGCTGCAGTGAACTGGAGAAAAGCTTTTTTTGTGGTTTCAGCTTTGGTTTAGATTAGGCCATTGCTCATATTTTGTTCAGTACAAGCACACATTTACAACATGAGATTACTCACATTTTTCACCTGGTAAAGCCATTCCTGTGTTGAATATTGTTAATATGCCAAGCCAACAGTTACTGTAGCTAACTACTACAATTGTAGTAATATTTGTGTTGAAGCAAATCTAACAGCATTCCAAAAAGCAACTACTTTTTCACAGGAATAGCACATATTTCAAATTTCTGGTTGCACTCTATGCTACTGTCAGTTGAAGGAGTCATTCAGTTCATCCTCTTCCATACAAGAATATACCTGTCAGCTAATTCATGTTTGTCACATTAAAAACTGTGGTAATTCAGGAGAATTACATCAGTGGCACGTCTGACCAGACTCAATTTCTCTGCTAAAGGTAAAACATATGAAATGAAATTAGAAATAGAAATAGAAAAATTCTTCATGTGATACTTTAACAATTAGCTGGGAGGTGACCAATATATCAAATGGATGTGCAAAAAATTCCTAGCTTGGGGGAACAGTTAAATTTGAGTTGTTATAAAATACCAAAAATAGTCAGTTTAACTTCATAGATGTGATGCCTTTCTTAAATAACATAAGCATGGAAAACCTGCAAGGAATAGGGATGGTGCTAAGCAGTGAGTTAGAACAAATATATACTCTAAATGTATTCTAGGTTTCCCTCAGACTTGTCTAGTGCTTGTCTAGTCCCCTTCAGTGCCTCCCTAGAAGTATTTACAAATAAAGGTTAATCAAGCCAAGCTCATATATCCCTGAACTTTTCAAGCCTGAGAATGTGTATTTAAGACATGAGACTGGCCCACACTGAAAGTCAAACAAGATGCTTACTTTGTTTTTCCTTCTCTGTAAATTTTTGGGTCTTTCTTAAAAAGTGACAATTTTCTGGGGCAAACCTGGCAACAAGAACCTTTAAAATCCCCTTTTTTACTTGGTATTTAGCATGCAGAACAAACAGAATGTTAGCACCTATCATGAGCTAAGAATTAATAGCTGTGTATTTTAAAGGAATGTAAATGTTATAATAGGCAGTAATGCTACCTATGTGAGGCAGGAAAGGAGAGGAGCAGAAACATGAAAAAGCTAAGGATAGCATACTACATGCATAAAACAACAAATGCACCTTCCTGCTTGCTCATTTTTTACAAAAACTGACATACACATAGTATATCTTGATTTAACCTAGAAGCATTCAAATCTATATTTTTTAAAGAATACCAAGGCCAAAAAAAGTGCTCTATATGCAATATGTATGCCTCTGTCATCCCTTTCAGCATGACATTTTATACTGTGAGATGCACACTTCTAATAACAGATCTTTTAGCAAGGTAACAAAACCAAGGCTCTTCTAAGCAGCTTCTCTGCAAACAGTAAGTTTAGCAGGCAGATACTGACAATAGCCTTGCATTTTTTCCTTTCACTCTGAAAGAAACTGAATTATTGTAGATGGTTTAAATATTGTAGTTAAAATTAAGGCTGTCTTGGTTTCACAAATGAGAAACAGGTTCATCTAATTCCATCCATCCCTTTGAGGTTTCATAGTAAATATTAGAAGAATTGAATGCCCCAGAAGAAAAACAAAATCCTCTGCACTTTACCTAAATTCTTTGAGGTCCACTATTAATGCTAAACATCCAACCACACCTTGTGCAAAGGACTTTTGAGGAGCTATGAAGAAAAAATCTCAGTTGGGCAGAAATGGGTACTGAACTCTTATTCTCATGCCCTCATCCTGAGCCTGATTTGTAAATCTAGCTAAAGCTGAGAATGATTGCCTGCAGTAGGTGAGAAGAACACAGCAAGGTAAGACCAGTCTTGTCATGACACACACATTTAAATAATGCTTGCCAAAGGTTATTGAACTTGTTTTTCACTCTTTCTTTTACATCCCTGAAGGTGGGTAGAGGGAGAATTACCTCATGCCTCCAATTGGGAGCCTCTGTATCTCTGTAAGAAGTACCACTTCACAGCTTTTTGCCTTGGAGGCTTGTGCTCTTCTCTTCAGTGAAGTTCCCACAGCAGCCATGCCCTGTTGCCTTCCTTATAAATGAAATGTATGCCTTGCCACCCAGTTTGTTTAGCCTGGAGTAGATACACCCATACAGCTGTATCTCTAATTTCCTGTCTCCATGTTTGAAGGAATGAAACACTGTGTACAGTCCAGTGTTCTCTATGCATTAAGACAGGAGTTTGTGGTTGCTATTAGAAGTGATGGTATAACCCCAGCCTGGGGTTACCTATCACAGCAGTGCTTCCCTCGTTATTAAATAAGATGAAGGCACTGGTCCAAGACTGACAGGAAATAACAATCAAAGTTCAGACATGCAGTTCAGAAATACTTAGGTGCTTTTGGTTTTTTTCACACCAGGGCAGTTCAACCAATACCCAGGTGTTACACAACCCTCAGCTGTTAGGAGCCTATTGAGAATGATAAAGGTACAATGCAGTTCAGCCCAGCTTCTGATAAATAAACTTCAAAACAGCAAAAAGCTGTCGAAATGGAAGTCTATTTTGAATGGGAAATCATCTGGGGTGGGGGTGGACCCAACAATTACTTAGTCAAGCACTGAGGAATTCTTTCTTATTCAGGAACTCCTTTTGTCATTTGTTCTGCAAATATTATGAGAACTTGCAAGGAACAACTTTCCCAGTAGTAGCTACTGGGAGAAAGACCATCACAAAAGCATGCCACCTCAACCTCTGTGCTCCCAGCTAACACCTAGTAGCTGTTCATTCAACATCAGCAAGCTTATTCACCAAGGGACTTTTATGCTGGCAGTAGGGCACTGAATATAGTAAGTTGCACAATTTGGTTGTAATTATACTTCTGGAAATAGAATGTAGTAATGAATATTAAAAACTTGCTGCAGATATGGGAAATCTGAAAATACCCCCCTAAGACTTTTTTTTGTTCACAATTATAATGAAGGTCGACCTGTTTCATCACCATATACTTAAACATTTGATTTCCTTTTACTGTTTTTCAGAGGAATTAATATATTTTAATGGAATCACCTACACTAAATTGTTTAACTATGGCGCACTTAATTATAGAAAAACCTGTTTAGAGAGTTTATATAGCTGAAAGAGGAAACATATGCATGCAAAGTTTAACAAGGCATTTTAATTAAAGATAAGGCAAAATAATTCATTTATCCTTACTAGTTGTTATCCAAGCACATGTTATGTTTCAACTCTTTTAGGTAGATCTATTCATGGCAGATGAAAGATAACTAATATTCAACTGCATATAATTTTAGAGATGCAAAGTTAAGGCTTTAAAATGACATTAGGGAATGAGGTATGTCTCTCTAAGAAGTAACCACATTCAATTTGAGACTTCAGGGAAAAAAGGCACATCTCTCTTCCTTTAGAAAAGCTTGAGCTTCATTCTTAGACTTTTTCTGCCACTCAGCATTAGAACAAGAAAAGATCATGCACAGTTTAAATTAACTTCTACAGCATTCTTTTGATGAAACTGCTTAACAGCATTTTTGGTAAGAGTAAAGCTCCTATTTCTTCCTTCTTGTCAAGGTCAAGATATGTCCAGCTAGTAAAAATACCACAGCAATATGCAGGCACTTCTTGAAGGGTTTTTGTTTAACTTATACAGTATGTCTAGATTCAACATTCATTCTCTCAAAAACAGAAAGTTATCAACCACTAAGGCAATGGCACAGGAGCCATTAATGGGAAAAAAAAATTCAACTATTTCAATGCTGACCCCAGTTTCAAGTTTCTCCAGACTGTCCCTGAAGAATGAAAATAGTGTAAAGAAAAACTGGTTTTGCCCCATGCATCTGGAATACCTTTGTTTGAATTCTCTTCTCTGTGCAGAAGCTCTTTGCTAGCTCTCTATATATGCAGATTACATACATTTAGCACCTCTTTCTAAACAGTGGGATTATGTGAATACAGTTACAGTAAAATTTAAAATATTTCTAATAATTTACAGATTAAAACATAAAAATATTTCTAATTTTATTTGAAATAACTAATGTAACATTTGCATAATGCCTCTGACAGTCTGGTTAAAAAAAGCACCTCATACCTGCTCCTGTGGCCACTTCTGTCTGTCCTCTGGGGATCTTGACTTTGCTTTAAAACCTCGATGCACATCTCCACTGTGCTTAGAGGCAGATGGGATATTCAGCGATTTTGGCCTCCCCTCATGCCTGTTAGCACTGTGAACAGCTTCTCCCTTTGAACAAGTCTCTTTGTAGTCATGTGCCATGTTTTCAGTCCCAGTGTGCTCTGGACTCATTTCTGTTGTACTGTTAATACTGCTCATGCTCATACTCATTTTGATTTCTGCTACAATCTGGTCAATGTCCTCTTCCTGCTCTTCCAGGTCTGCATCCTCTTTTCTAGAATGATATGGTGATATTCCCTGTGAATTTCCATTAGCCTCTGCTGGGTAATAGTCCGGATAGTCACCTTCACTTTGACAGTATTGTATGTTTTCTTCTTGGTCCTGTATCTCCAAAGATGATGCTTCATCCTCCAAAATCTGAATGCCATTATCTTGACCTTCCTGCCACTCTTGCCTGTCCATCACCTCATTTTCATCTTGGTGCTGAATTTTACTTTCAGCCCATTCTTCTACAGCTTCCTGACATTCATCTGTTTCAACATGGTGTTCCTCATGGGGAGCATACTCCTCCCCATTGCAGTCCATTCCTTCCAGGTAGCTGTCATCCTCTGGACAGTATCTGATGTAGTATGTGATCCCCTCCTCTTCTTCTGGCAAGCCTTCATCATAGTCCTCCTCCTCAGAAGTGTTGTTTACGTAGTCAGAGCTGGAGTCACCATCTCCACTATGGTCATTGCACTCATGTTCCACAGGTGTGGGACTACCTGGTCTGACAGTTGCTAGTTCTGCCTCCTTTGCTGCATAATCTTCAATGGGAAGGTCACTTTCTTCATTTTCGGGCTCCCTGGTGTGAGATGAAGTCGGGCAAGCTCTGGCTCTGTGATCCAACATGCTGGCTGTAGTGCTTTGATGTTTCCTGTTTGCCATAGCCAGCTCCTTACATGACAATCATTTCCAGCAATTACTGCAGGGAAGATGGAAAAACACACATTCAGGAAAAGGTCATCAGCAGAGAACAGTGATGTTAATAGGAAGCAAACTGATGGGTTAATTTGGTAAAAAAGCCTGTGTTTGTAGAGATTTCACCAAATTCAGATAGCTAACTTTTAAAATGCTTATGCTATGGAACCATGAAATCAAAGTAATAAGTTGCACTCTGAAAGGAACAGATAAAGAGAAGGTTCTACATTTATGCTAAATGTATTCTAGTATAGGCTCTCTTCTGTCAGTTTGACAGAGAATTAATCCTGAACCTTGAAATTAGTTTTCAATTTTTCTTTCTTGCCAGTAAGGGGTCATGCTTTGATCACTATGCAGTAAATGGGACCTCTTTTCAATTTTCAGCTTAGGCATTTCTTTAACGTGTACTGAAAGCAAACATTTAGAATATGACCTGCTCTTACCAAAACTAAAGGAAAATAATTCTATTAACTTAGCAGTCACATAGTGCATTAAAAGATAATGCATTGATATTAAAAGTTATTTTTTTAAAGGCACTTGGCTGGTTTATTAGCCCTTTCTATCTGGATGCCATGAAGTATCTCTCATTGTTAAACCAAATATTGCTTTTAGAATAGATTATTTCTGTTGGAAGGGACCTACAAAAATCACCCAGTGCTGACCAAGTTAAAGCATGCTATCAGGGCCTGGTCCAAATGCCTCTTAAAACACTGACAGGCTTGGGCATTGACTGCCACTGGAAGCCTGTTCTAGCACCTGACCGTGCTCCTAGTAAAGTAATGCTCCTAATGTCCAGTCTGAACCCACTGTGATACAGCTTTGAACCATTCCCAAGCATCTTGTCACTGGATACCTTCTCTGGGGAGAAGTTCTGCACCTCCCTGCCCACTTCCCCTCTGGAGGATGCTGTAGAGGGCAATGAGATCACCTAAACCTCCTTTCTACAAACCAGACCAGCTCAAAACCCTTTGCTACCCCTCAAAGGACACCTCCTTCCAGCCCTTTCACCAGCTCTGCTGCCATTCTGTGCACACATACGAGGACCTTCACATCTTTCTTAGATGACGGGGTCCAAAAGTACACACAGCACCCAGGTGAGTCTAAATAAGCAGAGGTTATATGAACTATATAAAAAATAGTTAAAGAAAATAGCTAATTCTAGATAGGCTTGACAAGTATGATCTGCTGCATGATTTGGAAGGGGGAAATAACATATTCTCAGTATCCGTGTTTCTCTGCATTTCATTGTTGTATCCTTTTGATAAACTTGACCTGTGCAGTTACTTGAGGCATGAAGTGAGCTCAGGCTCCTCACCTGCGTAACACAACTGGGAGAACAGTTTGATTTAACCAGGCTTGAGCAATAAAACTGGCATGGAGCTAAAGGATTAGAGGAGCTATATAGGGAGTAATTTCTTAGGCATTCTGAACTTAGAAAAAAAAAAATCCTGTCACTGTAACCTAGAACCTTATAGAACCCCTGTAGAACTTCTGACACCACAAGAAAACTCTCAATCCTTAGTTTTTGACAAATCCAGGGATGTAATGTATCTATGAATTATTGCAAAGATATCATGTGGTAAATCTAACCCTGAAACATGGGTTCTAGATTCTGAGAAACAAAGCAGAAGTCATGTTAGTCACAGCAGGAGATACGAAAGGAACACAGCATATGGAGCACTTTTTGGTTGTTACCTTGAAGAATTAGTCTTGACATAATAAAGCTTTAAAGTAAATAGTGTATCTGAAGAGAAGTTTTAAAGGAGAAGATCAGAGAAGGCAAAACTTTCTCAGTGATTACTTGCCCCTGCTCACTATTGGAAGAACTAGGAGACTCGCAAGGTTTTCTCAGTGCAATCTGTATGCCCATTATCCCTTTAATAATAATGATACTTATTTACTATGTAGTCAGTTAGAAGAAACTCAGAACAACAAGCCATCCATCCCCTGGGGTTACCCCTGATTTAGTCAGCTTTGACTGCAAACTAAAGATGTTTCTATACTGTGACTGCAGTATAAAAAAATATATTTTACATTGGATTAAAATAGTAATCTAAGTCACAACACTGCAATGCTCTGCACAGGCTGCAAAAAACTGCCCACAAGCAAGACAAATTGCTTGTATGACCATTTCAGGAATGAATATACTACACATACATGTCTAAAATGAGTTAAGATGGAGAGCTATAATAATTCTGAATGGCACTGCAAGAAAACAACAGAGATCTCATCTGGTTTGACCAAAAATTATTTTTTGTCAAGAACAGAACAAATTGCCTCTTATTGACCGAAAAGTTCTCATGTGCAATAGCCTCAATCTTCTAGTGGAAATATTATCCATATTAAATAATACTTAAATATATTTACAGTGCACTTGACCCTGCTTATAAGTCACTACAGTGTAGCTGAAGCTACAGAAGCACAGAGCCTATAACAAGCACAGTTTGAAACCCATGACTCAGATTTTCCTAAAGCATATGGAGATGAGAACCCTTTTTTTAGCCAGTGTAATGGAGTTTTTCCACCCACATCTAAGACTCTTCATTTAGTATCCAGGCCCTAAAACTGTCATAAGTGGTATCTCTACAGCAATAGCCTTTTATAAATTCCAAGAGTGAATGCTCAAAGACGTCACTTACCTGCAGGAAAATGCAGTGCATTCTAGATATTCTGGAACACATTGCAGGAAGCCACCTGAATGTGATTTGAGAGACAAAAGGCAGGAGCCTAGGGAGGGAGGGGTGGCTGATGAGAGGAGCTCCATCAGCTGTGGGTGCCAGGTGAGGGCTCTCAGCAGGGTAATGCAGTCCTGCCCCACCAGGGCCCTGCTAATGTGCAGCAGCTGCACTGTGGTGGGAAGAACTTAAAAAAAAATAGTGGCAGACTGGAAATTTTTTAGAGCATAGGTGGTAAGAAATAGAGAAAATAATTCTTCTCAAGCATGTCTAGCACTGATATCCTGGGACATGGGAAATGGGTTTTCAGTTAATTCAGCTTGAGCAATGATTGAGGACAGTGCTTAACCCCTGTATGCTGGAACTGAGGCAAAATAAGACGGATTTTTTGGTGAGAGGCAATGCTGATCTTAATGCTATGGAAACTGAAGTTACAAAGCAATCTCTGCATAGCAATTACAATTCTAGTTGGCCTCCTTTGCAATCTTCTCAGGCACTACTCTTAAGGTAACAAAGTACTGAAATAAAAAGGCAGAATTTATTATTTTCAGCCCATGAATTGCAGACTGAATGTGCACTGATTACAGCATCTTCAAGTATAAAATGTAACTTCTCCAACTGTACCAACACATCAGAATTACTGAGCTGAGTTTTCAAACACCAGTCTGAGAACTGCTCTTTATGGAGCTGCAGATACATTTCTGTCAAGAAAACACACAGCTGTATTTTAACTCAAATATTAGAACAGCCAGGGCAGCCTAGTTTTCTTCCCCTGTATCAAAATATCTCCCAAGCTTCCTAACAAAATGCTACCTAATCACTGATTAGGTTTAGCATAACCTGAATATTTTAAGCTGTTTCATGTCACAGCAATGTTCCTGAGGGCCACAGGTCTGAACTCTTCTGTCTTCTCACCTACAGAGACATTAATCTTACAGGTTTTGAAAGTACAAAATCAGAATTTTGACTTTTTTTTTTTAGAAATGCAGCAGATACCAAGTTTTTACCATGTGTTCTGCTATTCAGACTGCTGTACAAAGCCTTCTGAGTCACTGACTGCATGGATTAGTACTTTAGCTAATATTCACATCAGTTACTGTAACCTTCTAACATCATAGGTATCAAGAAAATTAGAAATTGGAGAAAATACTGTATTTCTATCTAATATTACTCAATGTTGTAGTGAAGAGAGGAGTAAAGATTTGCTGGATCCAGAGGCACTTTATCAATAAAGGCTCCAATGGAGCCCACAGATCATTTCCTCTGCTTGGTGTAAGACTCCCTCCTACTTCTTATATCTCACCTCCCTCCTTGATAGCAGAGTTAAGTCAAACTTCTGCATCACTCCAAGCACATTTTTGCACTTCTGGCTGCAGTTGGGATGAAGTGTTCCTGGGAACATGGATCAGTGCTGGATCCCTGTTTACATTCCTTGGGATTCAGTAATTTTATCTTGCTGAGACAATCAAACCCTGACTTCAGTTGTACAGTGCATCACTAAATCTCCATCAGTACTGTCAGGATCAGTGAATAAGGGACAAGTTACACATGGTTCTCAGTAAAAATGCTTTTCTTTCAATAATGATTTTACTTTATTTTTCTTAATTTTCCCTAGCTCAGCTCAGTGTTGAAAGGAAAATCAATCTCCAGGAAACACATGCTGCATTTCCATGTAAGAATAAAAAGGAGTATGCATAGGGGAACCGATTTCTTCTGCTCCCAGAAACAGGACTACTGGCTTACAGCTGGAATTTATTTTAATCAGTACTCATTATACTCATTAGCTTTCTCCTGAGTTTGCTGCACCTAATCCCAGACAGCTGTAGGGAGGGATTTATCAACCTTAACACTTTAACATCTTTCACCTGTGTAGAAAGATCTCTTTACTGTCCTCCCAGTAAAAGAGACCAATTAAATTAGCATTAAAAATGGGAAATTATACGCAATTCTAAACAGGGTGAAATACCCAGTATGGTAATGCTGGCTGTGGTTAAAGAACTGCATTGCATCTATACTTCATTCATAAATTGAATAGATTTTAGTGGGAGCAAAACAAGTTAATGACATTTAACATCCACAGTGACCTGAGGGGGCAGGGGAGCACTGTTAGGGTCTTCTGGCAACAAATACACTGTTGCATGCTTGTCTACAGCCAAATTATTTTGGAGCCCTGCTGTTTCAACTTACAGGTGAACTAAGAATTTTACTGGCCTGAATTTGATATATTCACTTTATTTTGCAAGGCCTCTTTCCTGTGCCTTCTCCTCCCCAGGTTTATTTTTCCATCTACTC